CCTATAGCAAAAACCTCTCAAAAACAAACAAACAACAAAACAAAACAAAACAAAACAACAAGAAAAAGAAAACACCACTGGGGGCCAGCAGATGGTTAAGGCCCTGGATCCCACATGGCCAACTTTGAGTCCTGGACCCAGTGGCACACGCCAAGTGCACGTGCACGAGTGCCCAAAATCATGAGAGGAGAATGGAGAAGGGACTGAAGCATGGCCATACGCCCCGGGGGTGAGTTTTCACTTTCTCTTTCTCTCTCTGGATGGCAAGCGTACATGCCTAGCAAAAAACTACTACTACTGCTACTACTACTACTAGTAACAAGCGACGGAGAAGCAGCCTTTGGAGAGGGGAGGATGTACCAGGGAGGAAAGGATGATGGCAGGGGAAGGCTCCCAAGAAGGCAGAAGGGGCTGTGCAAGAGGGGACAGGACCCAGGCACAGCAGTGGAGGAACTGAAGGTGCTACAGGCGCAGTTCTTCCAGCTGAAAAGACAGGGGAAGGGCCAGCAGCTGGCATGGTGGCTACGAGGCTGGACTCCCACATGGCTGACTGCAGTTTGAGCCCTGGACCTGGTAGCTTGCTTTCTCTCTCTCTCTGGTAAGAGCACATGCCCTATAATAAATTAAAAATAATAAATAAAACTAAATAAATAATTCTTTTTAAAAAGAAGAAGGAAAGAAAAGGTAGAGGGAAGGGAGCAGAGCAGGCAGGGGTTCAGAGGTTCTGACTGATGTCTAGGACGGCTCTCTGCCAAGCAGAAGACAAGGTCACTGGAGGGCAGGAAGAGCAGCTGGGGCAGGGACAGACTGAGCGTCTGCGGAGAGCGGGGGGAACATGTCTGGGAATCACTGGGCCCTGTCCTGTGTGCTCCTGCAGGAGCCCTGGGCTTCCTGGGGCTGCTGCAAGGGTTGGGAGCCGTCCCTCACAGAGCTGGAGCAGAGACAGGGCTCCTGCAGGCATTTCCATGCCAGGCTCGCGGGGTATTCTTTAAATGGGAGAGACTTAGCTGTTTAAAAAGCCACTGGGAGGAAACCTGTCGGGAGGAGGGGCCAGATGTCCCAAGGGAGGGAAGGATGATGGGCCGGGGAAGGCTCCCATGAAGGTGGAAGTGCTGTGAGAGAAATACAGGGGAAACGGGGCACTGGAGAAAGGAGAGGTCTGGCGAGGAGTCACCCTGGGGCACCAGGAGGGGATGCGCCATCCAGTCACATCCACAGGGGACAGATATAAGTCTCATATCTGAGCACCCCAAAAAATTCAAGGCACAGGACAGACAAAACATCGACACTCTGATCATAGATCCCCTCGCAGGAAGAAACGTGAGGACCTCAATCTATAAAGGGCAAAGTTTACGAAAGATATAAAAGATAACAAAACATAAAATGCAAAAACTATGAATGTCTGAAAGGGATAGAAAAGACAGTCTCACCAGGTACTGGAGAAGGGCGAACGAAAGCAGATCACGTGTTTTCACCCATCACATGGGCAAAGGTTTAGATAGGAGACACTACATGTGGTTGGTAAGAGTATAAATTAAAATAACCTTCCTAGAAAGCAATTTATAATAGCTATCAAAAATCCTAAAAATGTTCATAGGTTTTTGTTTTTTTTTTTGAGAGGTCTTTGCTATAGGGTACGTGCGCTCATCAGAGAGACAAAGAGACAGAAAGCGAGAAATCACCCCCAGGGGGGATGGCCATGCCGCAATCCCTTCTCCATTCTCCTCTCGGGATCTTGGGCACACACGCACATGCGCCCAGCGTGAGTTTAAGCCACCGGGTCCGAGACTCGAGCCACAGTCGACTACATGGGAGTCCAGCGACATAGCCATTACGCTAACTGCCAGCCCCAAAACGTTCATAGGTTTTGATCTGACTTCTGGAAAACCACACTACATCCAATGATAAATGATTAGTAAATTCTAGTATAGGCATATGATAAAATAGAATGCAGTTTTTTAAAAGAGAGTTTTTGCCTTAGGGCATGTGTGCTTACTTGTGAGAGAGACAGAGACAGTGAGAGGGAAAGTGAGAAATCACCCCCTGGGGGATGGCCACGCCACAATCCCTTCTCCATTCTCCAGGGAGATTTTCAAGGCACCAGATCCAGGATTCGAGCCATGGCCAGCTATGTAGGAGCCCAGCTCTGTGGGAGTCCAGTACACCATATGCTGGCCCCCAAATAAGATGCAATATTAACACATGCTTGTGTGCAAATAAACCTATGCTATGTGAAAGAAGCCAGTAGCAAAAGATCACAGTTTTGATTCCGTTCGTATGAAATGTCCAAAGTAGGGAAATCTATAACGACAAGAAGTAGATCAGTGGCTGCCAGAGGGTTGAGGACATGGAGGGGTGATAGCTGAAGGGTAGGGGATGACAAAAATATTCTGAAATCATGGTGACAGCTGAGCTTATCTACGAAGATATTGAAAACCGCTGAATTACACACTTCCATGGCTAAGTTATGTGGTATGTGAACTATAGCTCAATAAAGCTGTTAAAAAAATAAAACCCACAGTTCCCCAAAGAAAATGCTTATGAGGAGTTGATAATGACAGGGGAATCTACAAAATGGGAAATGTAAGTTGGAAAACAGTTTAGGAACTAATAAAGTGGGGTAGGGTAAAGGGCTTGATGGGAACTGTATCACAGAGAGGAAAACACGGAAGCGTACTGGCCAGGAGGCTAACCCAACCGCGGCGGCACCGTCAGCCATTCTGGTCTTCATGCTGCTCTGCGCTTCCCAATCATCCTCCCATCAGTGAACGTGTGGTTACATCCATCCACAAAGCCCACTCAGCGGAAGAGGGCGGAGCTCCTCCAGAGCCTGGACCGCTCCCACAGTGGCATCCAACGGCCCCTGACTCAGCTAGCGAAATGGCAGTGAGGACAGCCTGGGTCGCACTCCTTCTGGGTAGAGCTAAGGGCTGGAAAGAAGGTGGAGCCGATGAAGCAGCCCTGCTCAGCTGCCTCAGGTAAGAAGCGTGCAGTGTAATTGCAAGAAAAGCAATTCAGCGCTCACTGTTCAATCCCACCAAAGCACTCTGAGTCCCGTTGAGGCACTGTGGCAGCTGGGAGATCCCAAGGGAATGTCTGGTCCCACCCTTTGAAATGCAAATCTGTCAAATGCAGTCACCTTAACCCATATAATCCAGCAACTCCACTCCTGAGGATCTACCCAAAGGATAGGAATACATTCGGCTAGAAAAACACATGCCCATACAAGTTTATTGCAGCATTATTCACAATTGCTAAGACATGGAATCAAACCAAATGTCCACAAACAGATGAGTGGATTGAAATAGCGCGGCACATGTACACTATGGAATACTACTCAGCCATAAAAAAAAACAATGAGACTCTGGTATTTGATAGAAAGTGGACAAACATGGAAGATTTACTGCTAAGCAAAGTAAGCCAGACTATGTAAGAGAGGCATTGTATGTCCCCACTCAATATATACTGACTGTCTGCACTCTATGGCAGAAACTGAAATACTGGAAGGTATAAAGGCATGGAAGGCAACTATAGATACAAGATACAGCGTGGGAGGAGGGTGGGAAATGGAGAAGGGTGAGAGGGAGGGAATCAAGGGGAAGAAGAAGCAAAGCATCTAAGGGACACAAAAATGGAAAGTGACCTGTTGATGACCTGCATGGTAATATCTAATATACAGTGTATTCATGACGGGAAAATTCATTTGGTATGCTGTAATGATATACAGTGATTGAATGTGATAATAATAATAATAAAAGAAATGTAAATCTGACCGAGGCTTTCCTGGCTCCAAAGCCTTCGTAGCTCACCCCTTCCCTCTAGCCTCATCCCTGCTCCTATTTATCCTTCTGCCCTGCTCTCACTGACAAACTCCCAGAGGCCTGTGTCTGTGACCTACTCAGGAGGGACTCTCAAACCTGAGGTCCTTTTGTCACCTGTGCCCTCCCCCATAGACCTGGAGACGTCCATCAGCCAGACTCAGCACCGCACACAGCGGGAGAACTGCACAGTGGAAGGAAGGCGAGGCTGGGCCTGTGAACTGGATGGTGGCGTTCATCCTGGCTGCCCCACGGGATTGGTCGTACTAAACAAAACACGGACGAGTGCATATTAGGGCTGGGAAATGGTGCAGCGGTAACGAGTTCTACAGGGCTGGGCCATGTGGGGAGGCTGAGGGACAGGAGCACGATGTGTGCATGTATGTGCCCACGATCCGGCCGAGGCTGTGGGGAGACTGAGAGTGTCTCTCTCTTGCTATCTCTCTTGGAAAAATAAATACACAGTTTTTTTTTTTGAGAGGTTTTTGCTATAGGGCACGTATGCTCGCCAGACAGAGAGAGACATAGAGACAGAAAGCGAAAAATCACCCCCCAGGGGGGATGGCCACGCCGCAATCCCTTCTCCTCCATTCTCCTCTCAGGATCTTGGGCACGCACGCACACGCGCCCGGCGTGAGTTCTAAGCCACCGGGTCCGGGACGCGAACCGTGGTCGACTACATGGGAATCTAGCAACATAGCCATTACGCTAACTGCTGGTTCCAATACACACAGTTTTTTACAAAGTGCATACGACCTAGAATTTTCACACAGGGGATATGCCATGGAACTACCACCTAGATCGAGACACACAGCACCATCAGCACCCAGCACTGGTGCAGTTCACCCTCTGGCCGTCCTCTGGGGACACGTATCTGCTGAGCTAGTCTGCACTAAAGTGGCACAAAAGACAGAGCATTGTGAGGAGGGCTTCCTGGAGGAGGTAGCACTGTGCAGAGATAGCCGAGGAGAGCGCCTGCAGCAGAGCTGGGAGGAAGGGGGCAGGCAAAGGTTTGCACACACACACACACACACACACACACACACACACACACGAATGTCAGAGCTCACAGCAGACTCTCAGAGGCAGCTAGGCCCCTGCACCTGGAGAGGACCCAGCTCAGAGAAGTGGTGCTGTGCTCAGGACCACAGGTCTCACCGGGGCCTTGCCGGCCGCGCTTACCTCCAGCACACGCCCTGTGATGTACTTCTCACAGCCGTCACAGCGGATGCCGAACTTGGTGTGGTAGTCGGCCTCGCAGTAGGGCAGCCCGTCCCTGCAACGAGACAGGAGGTCAGGACAGGTCACCCTGCAGACCGCCGAGTGACTGACAGGCTTCGACAACCATTATCAATGAGACGGACTTCAGTCAAAGTGGGGCAAATGCCCACGTCTTGCTACTCTGAATGACAAGACCTCTAATAATTAGCATTTATTCGGGTGCCTACAGGTGCCAGTCTCATGAGAAATACCACAAAAACCAAGCCATTTCACAGATGGACACTGAGGTGCACCGAGGCACGGCTACTCCAGGGGTTGAGCAGAGGGAACAAAAGTTGGATCCTGGAAATGAAAGTGTTTCCATGGGTCCGCTTGGCTTTCTGGTTCCTTCCATCCAACGTTCGGCATCTACAGTGTCTCAGAAAGATGTGAGCCCAAAGGGACATGTGGCAAGGGCACCCACTGTAGGGACAGGGTGGAGCGTGACAAGCGGTCTATGTGGCTGACTTGGTCTGTGGGGCCGCCTCCTGCTGTGAGGAAGGGGCCCTGCAGTGGGGCACCCACTCTCCACACACACAGCAGCACGCCCCCTGCACGCGGCATTGTTTGCTGCATCTGAAGATGAGCATCAAGTGAGACAGCCACTCTGGGTGCTGCTCCTTAAACCAGTCACTTAACCCTCCCTGAGCGCGCTGCAGGGGAAACGGTGCTGCAGGGTGGTCGAGGAAGCTCAGGCAGCTCCGCACATGACGAATTTAGAACCCATGAGCTTTATTATGCTGAGCTTTTACAGCAGGCTGTGCAGGGGGAGCGGAGGCTCAGAGGCAGCACTGTCGTTTTGAGGTGTCCATGCTCAACCTGGAGAGGGGCTGCTAGGCAGCAGCAAAGTGAGCAGACTTGGACGCAGATGCCATTTGCCAGCTGTGTGTCCCTGGCAAGTCACTTAACCTCTCTGAGCCTCGGCTTCCCCATCTGTCAAATGAGAGCATAACAGTAAGCACTAATAAGAGGTGTGGCCAGTGTCCAGCACAAGGCAAGCACTTGCCAAACAGTGGCCAGGGCCATTGTCATTCCTCGCCAGGGCTGTTCTCTCAGCCCTAGGCCATGGCCTGGCAGGAGCTGGGCATGGAGACCCCTGTTTCAGAGCGGGGCCCTTGCCCTCTAGCGCATCTCCCCTTTCTGGCACCACCGAAGTTGTGTGTTATTCTAAATTGGGTCTGAGTCGTGCATAGCTGCAACAGACCGTCAAGGAATGGACCACGTTGATGCCGCGCTCTTCCCCTCCAGCTCTGGGCCTTCACTAGGACCCGCAAATGCCCGCAGGAGGGAAAGGGTCCCTGGGCTGCGCGCCCTCTCTGCAGCCTGACGCTGGTTCCCAGCTCTGGATGAGCCCGACGGGGTGACAGCCTTTCCTTTGCGTAAGAATACATGGGGTCCTTAGGCCCCACTTGCAAACGCTGCTGACCTTGGGGCCACAAGTGGGTATATTTGTACCAAATCCCTCTGCGGTTCAGAGATAATATCTCCATGGTAACACCAACGCGCTCCTTGTCAGTTCTGGGACAGCTCCGGGGGCTGCTAAGTAACATGCGTGTGGTGTGGGTGACTGCCAGCACTGCACGGGGGGACTGCAGCCTGCGGGAGGCTGGCGTCTCCATTTGCTCCAAAGTGCTCTGTGCACCGGGCTGCGTCTGTCGGAGCCACTCAAGCACTTCCTCTGCCATGCCGGAGGCCAGGGAGCTCGAGCCTTCTGCATGGCCCCATGCACCCTGGATGGAAGTGCATTCTGGTTCAGGGTCTTTCAGAACATTTCATTGTGGGATTATTCAAGAAGTACATGCAGTTTTAAGAAGCAATACAGAGAAACCAGCAGATGGAGTAATGGTTATGTCGCTGGACTCCCATGTAGTCGACAGCGGTTCAAGTCCCAGACCTAGCAGCTTAAAACTCACTCTGAGTGTGTGTGTGTGTGTGTGTGTGTGTGTGTGCGTGCGCAAGATTCCTAGAGGAGAATGGAAGAGGAGGGATTGCAGCGTGGCCATCGCCCCTGGGGGGTGACTTCTTGCTTTTATCTTTCTGTCTCTATGGCAAGCACACACACCCGATAGCAAAAAAAGTCTCTCTCAAAAAAAAAAAATAATAAAGAAAAGAAAAAAAAAGAAAGAACGAGAGAGAGGGAAAGAAAGAAGCAATACAGAAAGGTCCCAAATACTCTCCACTCACTCGCCGTCCATGGTGACATCTTGAAGGAGAATACAGCAAAATCGACGAGGAAGCTGACATGGAACATTCCTTGGCCTTGCTCAGGTTCTGTGCTACATGCAGTTATGTGTTTGAATGACTGTGTGTGCAGGTGTGTATGTTTCATCCCGTTTATTTATTTATTTATTTATTTGTTTGTTTGTTTGTTTATTTATTTATTTATTTATGCCAGGGGGCTGTGTGCTTGACCCAGGATGGGAAAGGAAGAAAACCTCTCAATGGGGCATGGTGGCATTCAATCCCTTCTCCATTTCTTCATCTTTCTAGGATTTCGGGCATGAACACACATGCCTACAGTGTGTTTTCCAAGCCTCTCAGGTGAGGATTCGGACCACGTTCAGCCCTGTAGGATCTGGTTCCCAATGTATAGCACTTAACCGCTGGGCTACAGGGCCCAGTATTATTTCATGCAGTATTATCATAGGGCCTTTAAAAAGCTGCTCAGTTCCCTTGGGCAAAAGAACTGGCCCACTCTTCAGTAAGAGTTGCAGGAAGGCCCTCTGACTCCTAGGAAGGTGGCCTCCTGCACCCAAAGGAGCTGCTCATTGAGTTCGCCCACTAGCTCATCCCTCCCCTGTGCTGTTTGTGTGATCGCCTGCCTCAGTGCCTCCACCTCCCAGGATTGAGATGGTCCCCAACTCCTGGCCCCAAGCTGCCCCCACCCAAGGCCACTCCACCGCCTCCCCCAGTCACCACCCAGCTGGATGGCATGAGTGGGGAACCCCGTGCCAGGCAGTGGGAGCAGCCCCAGGGGCTCCCACTGTGCTGAAGACAGAGCGTGAGGCCACGGGGCCCCGTCTCTGACAACTGAGACGCCTCACCCTCCTTTCCTTGTCCCTGGAAAGGAACGCCATCTGTGAACACTGCTGTGTGTCCTGCAGGAAATCCAGGCACCAGGAATGTTGACAAAGCCCACAGGGAAGGTGGAGGATGACATCCAGGGACAGGAAAGAAGAGGTGTTTGCCAAGCCAGAGAGAGGAGTGCCAACATCCCTGTTTCTGATCTGCAAGCCACACTGAGGAAGCGAGGACTTCAAGGGAAGGCAAATACGGGCTGGGGGACACACCCGCCAGTGCCAGGCCACGCGTCCTTACCTAACAGCGGGGCAGCAGCAGGTGCATGAGGAACCGCAGAAAGGCAGGAGTGGGGTGGC